AAACAGGACGTGTGCAAAGGAGGAACAAAAGGGAAGATACACCGAGGGGATTACACGAATACCCAATGACGACAACAACCCGACGGCACGATATGAAGGTGCAAGGCTAGAGCAAGGATGAAATCTTGGACGGCATTTATATTTCGGAGTCAATGAGGATGTCAAGGGCTCGGGCGCGTGGTGGTCGAGGCTGAGGAGGAATATGCGCTTGGGCGCGTCAAAAAAGGGTTCTCTGGACGGTTTGGCTTGACATGATTCAACACATGGGTGAAGTCTGAGGTGGTCCGGTCATTTAGGTGGGACGAGGCACTTGTACTTTACGGTAGTCAACCTGATCCGGCCCGGCCCCACCCGTGCTTAACCTCCAGTAGGAGTGCAACGGGAATCACTATACCTAGCACGTAAATGAACAAAACAAAACAAAATGCTAGCCGGCCACGACGAATTCTTCACCTTCCAGTTGTGCCGGTGTAATCGCTCAGTATGCTCTGCATATCTGGGATAGCCAAGAAGAATCGCATCCGAATCGAAGTCAAAAGCAATCTCAAGCATATCTCCATTTGACGACTTCTCGATAATTCCTCTCTTATCATTCTCATCAGAGTCCTCAACGACCAATGAGGAAGTTGCTCCAATTGCAAACAGGAGCTTGCCCCATTAATTTCCAGCCATCTCTCACTAAACATTTATGACGCTATTTACACCCACAAGAAGGAAATTAAGTCGTAAAATACAAAGCCTGGGTCTTGGCTCATGGAAGACTGTTGCTCTAGTAAGACAAACAACTTGAGGGAGAACAGGCGTCTGAGGTGTGGAGCGAGAGAGGAAAGAGTTCTCTGAAGAACATGTTGAGACTGACATCTTCGAGGAGTTTTCAACTTTGGAATGTTTGTGGGCGCCAAGACCAAGACTTCGGCCAATTAGCCAGGAGGGCTCCTTTTATCGATGAGTCAACGGCACTCCCCAGCGCCCTAGATGGCAAAAAAAAGTTGGGCTGAGCTACCGTACAGCAATCACGCTCTGTCAAGACTTTCTGACATTTCAGCACGACCTTCGGGAAGGAGGCTAGAAAGGCAGAGTGTAAATTTCCAGAGGTACCCGCAAGTCTGCAGCGCCCAGCTGGCCGGCCTCTTCGAACGCATCAAAAGGGTCACTATGTCTTCGGATTTAGTCCTAATGGCAATATTAGAAGAACCCCGCACGCAGCGGTTTTTGCGATTTTTCCCGGTTGCCAAATACGCGCAAATGGCCATCGTCTCGTTAGCTGGAGAGGGGAGATGATGAAGGGCTAAGGGCTCTTCTTAGTGTATGATCGAATGAGGACTTGTGAGGGGTGGTACTGTTCGAGGGGAGCTGTATGGGAGGCACAGGAGGGGCTATACTACTGGCATAGGTATCCCTGGCCTATAGGCAGAGAGGTCCTGCATGTCCTACACAGTCAAAGACTTAGACATAAAAATAAATTAAATTAATAATCTACAAGGACACCTAACTTCGGCGCAGTCTTCTCTTCGAGCTCTCGGGGTCTTCTTTGACCCCAAACTCCAGTGGGGCACCCGAATAAAGAATATTCAGCAAAGATCGTGCGCCCAAGTGCATTCAAGTGTAGCTAATTAGCAGATTGGCACAATCAACTTGGGGAGAGACATTCATGAAATCTAAGCTGTTACACAGCACGATATTGAGATTGGCCCTCACGTATTTGTCCTCGATATGGGCCGAGTCCGGACCAACAGGAAAGACATCTGAAAAGATAGTGAAACTTTTATGAAATGAGACACCGAAATACTCGAGGCTAGGGCATCGCGTGTGGCTCAAGGCCACAGCTTATATCACTAGTGTAACGGTTAGGCTACTATGTACACAGTTACATGGATGTACCCACAGCATCGTATTGTATGAGTCTATTTACTGCTACCCACAAAATATAAGATTATCCACTAATCATCACCCCGCAACATAACATCCGCATAGCTCATAACCATAATAGAAACCCCTCAGAAGTATTCAAGGAAAATGCTTAAAGCTTGTTGCAGGTGCCTACAATTCTACTCGCAGCAGAATGTTAGAGCACGAATCGTCCGTCCTCCCCATAGGGATATACTTGAAACAAAGGAAGGTCCAACACGCCTGTTCATCAGCTACACTCCCTATTCATCAGATAATACAATCGACAGTAAGAGGATAAAGCTGCCCGCATACGGGAGAGAACCTCCGCATGTCTTGAACAAGAGTGAAGATATCGCCGAATAGACAAGAATTCGCGGATGGGAAAAGGACAATGGGAGACAGAAAGAAGCTGGAAAGACAGCGGCCTTTCAGGAGTGGAAGTATTCATAAACAAGTCAGAATAGGAAACAGCGGCCATCAGACCAGCATCAGCCGATCCAGAACACTGGAAAGCGGCAAATAGATTCACTGATGCAAGAACAGGCAGTGTGAAAATGAATTTCAAAGATACACCCTTAAACATCCACTGTAACCTAACCACGGCTCAAAGCAGTGTTGGCGTTCAGCTAAGAAGCGAGCATATTAGGATAAATTCTTACCTGTGTAGGAGAAAAGTACCCGGAGTAGAAAAGCCAAGCTGTCAATGTGGATATCCGGCACAAAGCTTCAAGAACATGGTTTTGTTGTGTCTGCAATGGGCAGGTGGAAAAGGCTATTTCTTCGACAAGCTAAAGATAGGTAATTTGAAGCAATGATTAATAGCTCAGAAGATGTGGCTAGAATGACACAATGGATACTGGGTAAAGGATGGATTAAACAGTTTCGACTTGCAGGGGAAGTCGAGGTAGCAATGTCGGATAAAATAATACGATCTGGAAGGGGAGAGGACGTAATCCACATTGACTGAATAGAGTAAAATGCACTTCCTGAAGGTAAACTAAACAAGTTAATAGTAATGTAAGGAGGCAGGATCAGGGGGTTGGTTTGGTTTGGTTTATTATTTTACGTCTATCTAATATAAATCCTAAGTAGTACATAAGACGCCAAAGCTTACTGCCCTGGGTACCTGAGGCCTTTGACTGTCCAAACCTGAATTGCCAAAGCCTTTAGTTTTTCTACAGGATCAGGAGGCTTTCAATAAATTGGTTTCCTCCTTTGTAAATAATGAAGATAGTCACCTGCATGGACCCATAGGGTGCCTGATCGGGTTAAATGCAATCAAATTCAATCATTCAAAACTTCATATTTGTTGGAGTATATCTTACATGCTATTCGGAAATGAAGGAAAAGGACTGTATCACCGCGAAGCTGTGAATAAAGATCTCTGCCTTTGTTGTTATTCACTCGCAAGCCAGTCGAAATTCTTTTATGTTATTATTTTGTCCCTCAATAGTAAATTATCATACCCGATCTCTCAGGGGTGAATAAATTCAATACACCTGTTCCTCACAGATGTGTTTGATTTTGAATTATGTTTGATGATTTAATCATTCTTATCTGTTACCTTTCCACCTGATTCAATTTATTTATCTCCCATTTGCTTCACGCCATCAAGATCTATCCCAGATTTAAGTTTTTGTCAAGGGTTTTCCCCCATTTATTACTCGTGTTATCCTCGATAGTGTGATATGACTATGGAGAATGCGAACTAGAAAATCTCATCTCTGGGTCTTAGGCGTAAAATAATAGCAATAATCAGTCTAAAAGGTTTTAAAAAAGCGGTAATGAGATTCATATATATCATAACAAATCTCGCTATGATTCAAGCAGCAATATGTAAGATCTCCATTTCAAATAAAATCATTAGGCTAGCTCTACACCCCACAAATAAGATAGGACTCCCTGATTTTATTGGGGTACCGAAGGTAAAGACCTAAGTGTTTAAATTACTACTTTTAACTTGGACATAATATCATCTTGTACTAGTTTCAGTGAATCAGTTGGTTGCCAGGCCACATAGTTAAGCTCTAGCTGCTCTAATAGATACTAGGAGCAAATCTAATAATGATATTAGGATTGAGTGAGTTACTACAGATAGATAAGACATCCACCTTTTTGACGCCTAAAGTATATCTATTACAAGTATTATTATTTTTAGTTGTGGGAGTAGTGTCGAATAGTGTGAGTTTCCTATCTATCAAATATGTAGAAAATAATTTCAATCATTAGGAAAGCCATATTCATGAAAATCAGTTTTTGTAGCTATAAAAATTTTGTAGTCTGCATTGACAGGACTCAGATTCCAAAGATGGCATCTTCTTGAGGTTTATTCTTCCCTAGATGGCCCATATTTATGTTTCCTCTGATGATTCATGTCCGGGGTCCAACGCATTACCTGATTTAGCTATAAAATGAACAGCTTGATGTTCCGCATTGAGATGGAATTCTAATAATACACGGAGAGGAAGGGCTTACTGTAGGCGCTTTGCGTTTCGACTGAGCTCTGATTAACATCGAACACGAGGAACCGAGAGGTACAACAAATTTCACATCACAAGCTTGCCACGGAATTCCAAAAGAACCACTAGACCTGGCTTGAGGCAACTTACAATTTACAAAGCGGTATATGTCCTGTTCGCAACTGAAAAGTATACATGTCCTCTTTACCATGATCTATTTCTACATAGTCTCCAGGGCATTCAAGGTCTCGAGTCACACATAAAGCACCGGGAAAATAGTTCAAGCTTCGAAAATTCAGTATGAACATGTGGGTGACCATCCCGCAGACTTGAGTTTATCGCGGCTGGGTGACTGAGCTAAGGGAACCATAGATATTGGGTTCGGCTGGCATGCATGATTATACCCAACCATCACATGATTAGAAAGTTATGAAAGTAATTTCGATAACCTTCATGTTGGGGAGTTTCAATCGTACAACAAACCATCCCCATCATACAAGCCTCCACAAATCACTGCTGAATAGAATTTTCGACAGTTGAGCTCTTGAAGAGCGATGACCCTTTGAGAACTGAAGTCCTTAACTTTAATTTGATTTCAGAAAAATATACTCTCTTCCCGGAACGTATCTACGGGGAATAGTGCTTATTATCATGGCCTACATTCGACAAAAAGATCTTCCGAACCTCAAGAAATACAGATACTCGGGCGTCGATCATTCTCTTATTTCCTATTATATATTAAAGCCATTTTATACCAAGTTTGTAATACGATGCTTTCCCATGGGTATGGCGCCGAATTTGATCACCCTTTCAGGATTCGGGTTTATAATTATAAACGTTATGACACTTCTTTGGTACAACCCAACGCTGGATCAAGATTGTCCACCATGGGTCTATGCTAGTTGGGCTGTGGGGCTATTTCTATATCAAACTTTTGATGCTGTTGATGGAGCGCAGGCGTACGCTCCCTGGAAAGCGTAGCTGAGAATGAGAGGCTAACATTAAATTGGTAGACGGCGAACTCAGCAAAGTGGTCCACTTGGAGAATTATTTGATCACGGAGTTGATGCCGTGAATACCTCTCTTGGGGTACTTATTTTTGCAGCTTCCATGAATCTGGGAATGGGATGGCTAACAGTTACATCTCTCTTTGGGTGTAGGTATGGAAAAATGATCGACAGACTTAGTTAACGATGATCAACAGCGCTTTCCACGTTTTACGTCCAAACTTGGGATGAATACCACACAAAGACTCTTACACTTGGCCTTATAAATGGACCAGTAGAAGGAGTGTTGCTTCTGATAGCAATATACATTATTACTGCCATAAAAGGGGGTGCCAGTCTCTGGCAGCAGTCAATGCTCCGAACTCTAGGGATACAGGAGCACGCTTTTATCCCAAGCTTTATCTACGAGCTAGCTTTTAACGAGATTAATATCTTGCAAGGTAGTTTAGTTCTCTTCATAAACATTTTCCAATCGTGAGTTCGGCAAGTTCTCCGCTACCAGTTCCTATACTAAATTTAACAGCTCTCGAAATGTCATCAAGGCACGACATCTCCGTGGTGAGAATGCTCGTGGTGCCCTACTTGGCTTACTGCCCTTACTTATAACATGGATGCTTATTACGGCTTATCTTCGCCTTAATCCAGAGATATTATATAATCACCTCGTACCCTTTATAATTTTTGTGGGGTTGATGAACGCCTATTCAGTTGGGCAGATAATCACCGCACACCTAGCGCAGATGCCTTTTCCGTACTTCAACATCCTTGTTCTGCCTCTTGCCTTTGGAGTCTATGATTCCTTAGGACCAATTTTACATAACAAATTCGGGATGGGCTGGCCAAGCATTCTTGAAACGACCTCTTATCAGACCTCATATTGTTTATGCATGGTAGGTTTCGCTCTCGGTATCTACGGAAGCTTTGTAGTTGATGTCATCGTAACTATATGTGACTACCTAGATATCTGGTGTCTAACTATTAAGTATCCACGGGAAAAGGAACCTTTAGCGTTTATATCAAAGAAAAACACTTGATTATAAAATTTGAATTTTATTGAGACATAATTAACGATTGTATCATATTTCTTCATTCCTGCATATTGCCATCGTTTTAGGCTTTGTGGTACGTCAGCTTTATAAATGACTAAGAAAGCACCCAAAATCATGAACACTTAAAGATAACGTAAAAGATCAGAGATTTTTGCCTTCACCACGTCGTTGTTACCTTGGGTTATGTATCAAGTTGATAATACCTATTACAAGTGAGTTTCATTTTTCGGGGTCTTTAAAAACTTCTAGAGGTAGTAATGTGACATATCTTTCCTTTGAAATAGCTTGGAACCAAAATTGTACAAAGAAACTTAGTAAGGACTGCATAAATTCTAACTAAAAGTTGGTAAATTATGAAACCATGTCGGGCCGCAGGAAGGCCCTCTAAATTGTTGAATCCCATGTTGAAATTAAGCTGCAGATGATGTATTTTTGTACAATAACATGGTAGGTTATGTGACGCTTGTCGCATTCATTCTATAGCTTAAGCCCGAATGTGGCCGGGGTGAATTAGGCTAACTATCGTAAAGTCCATATGCCTCGTCCCACCTAGATAAGCAGAACCTTTCCGACACGAATCTAAGACTCTCTCATGAGTCAAATGGTTTATATTTAAAAACAAAAAACCTCCACGCGAAATCCCGCATCACAGAAGGAAATTGTAAAACATCTACCTTTCATCCTTCTACCTCGTTCAAACGCGCCCGAGCCTCGTACTATTTAGATTTCATTGGGATGCCATGCCCATTGGCTCATATCTTATAAAATACCTGACATTGCCACCTCTCCCTTGCCTCGGCCTTCCACCAAATTTATGATAATGATTATTCATTATGACCGGGTAATACCCCAGCAACCAGAGGGCATGGCACAGATAGCTCGGATCTATATTACTCTTCGCCACCTACATCATTGTTTCGTAGAAACCTAGAAACACAAAGCTGAAAGCAAATAAAACCACCATTTCTAAGATGCAAGTGCCATGCACTACACTTTTATCTTCGTACCACACCGAACGATCCCGAGAAGCATTACAGTTGACCGTTACATCCCCTGTTCACGACTCAATCTTACTGTAACACTTTGTCACAGTTAGAAAAAGCCAGAATTTCTGCCATCCTCCTTGCCCTATCATATCCCTGATCGTAGGACCTAGTTCCTTCGCTTCCGTCATCCATTTCTGGATAGTCGCGCGACACTCTGCAAAATTCCATGGCTACTTTCTCGGCCACATTTGCGAGCAATTTTTTCATTCCGCTGTTGGAACCATCTGTGACAGCTGGAGAAGTCATCATGCCCAGTCCTTGCTGCGATGAGGCGGTGATATTCCCATCGAGGTAGAGCTAGCTCCAGAGGGAATTTTATCCGCATTAGTAGGTCCAGATCCTCATACCTGTCCGTTCCGTTCTTATGCCAACAATCATCCGCCAGTTTATGTACCCGGATTATGACTTGGCGCTTGAGAGCTGCAAATTTCAGGACTTCGTGAGCTTCCTCCCAGATGATCTTAGGTCTCGGTATATTCCCTTCCCTAGTCTTTGCTTCAAGTGCTGCCTTTGCTATCGCATCGGCCTTTTCGTTTCCTGCTATGCCGCTGTGAACTAGAATCCAGCAAACCTTTATCGAGAGTCGAGTCCCACGTAGTTCCTTAAATTTCTTTACTTTTACTTGTAAGAAATTGGTTCTACGGATTATAATAGCTTCTACCGCCTCTTGATTATCGAGGAGCACCTTTATATTGGCACTGCTTCCAAATTCCAACGTTGCCTCTAGGCCTTGAACTGCCTCAGTAATCTCTGCATCATAGATCTCTGCTCCAGGAAGGAATTTTCCACCGCTTGATAATAATTTCACATCCTTTTAGATGTCATAGCCATAGGCTGAGTGTGCTGCACCATTAGATAATCCATCTGAATAGACACACAGGGTTCCTGCTGGTAGGCTTCTGAGCCAGATCTTGATCCGCTTCGCCTTTTCCTCTTTGTTACATTTAGCCTTTGCAGTAGTTATGGCTATCTTTGGTCCATATAGATGCCCCGGACCTTCTGAACCCGGCATGTTAAAATTCCCGTTCTGTAGGCGTGTTAGATACCGTTCTAGAACTCTGAACATATATTCTCTCTGGCCCCCTCGTAGTTCAAGTCGTTTGATAGCCTCCTTGGGCATCTCAACTGCCCTTGACGATAGTGGATGATAACTGTCGAGTCGGCGGATTCTAGCTGCACTTTGGAGCTGTCGCTGCTGTAGCATGATTTCTGCCGACAGGAGTCCTGATTCCCAATGCAGAACTATATTTGGTATAGTTCACCACACTGGTAGTGCAGCTCGAACTGCAGTCAAAATTGTCCTGTTCAGTAGTTTAAGGTGCCATCCGATACCTGTAGTTATTCTTTTATGTCGTATCGTCGTTATACAAGTAAGTCCAGGCCACTAAGCCTCAGCGCCGTATACTGCTGTACTAACTACACACGCATTAACCACCCAAATGAATGATCCGAGAGCCGCACCTCACTGTATCCTGTTCACACTACGTAAGGAGTGACATAGTCGTTGTGAATTACTACACTATTCTTGAACATGCTGTCTGAATCTCAGTTGCGAGTCGAGCCAAACTCTGAGCCATCAAATATGCGGAGACGAGGTTATGCGCTGTTCACCAACCCTAACTGTGAGGTTCAATTAGTCAAATTTCTTCTTCGGTTCTCTCCCGATAACAAGTAACTCGAACTTCGAAGGGTTGAATCTTATCATGTGTGTTGAAGCGAGTTGGACTATCCTATCAACTTCCTCCTGAACAGCCTCTGCAGCTTCGCTAGACATATTACCGACTTTAACGATGGCTATGTCGTCTGCGTAGCCAAATTTGCAGTCAGAAGAGCCAATCTCAAGCAGAGTCGCGATGTATATCATAAAAATCAGTAGTGAGAGTGATGATCCTTGCGGGACACCGCACTCAATAAGCTTTTCGTCAGTGGCAACTTCTTTGTATCTTACACGAGTTCTTCGTTGTACCTACCCAGCGATAGAGAGATAACGGCCAGCCTTGCATTCGCATTCGTGTAAACAGCCAATTATACAGCACTGCACCGGAGGCACCTTGAATATCCAGCGTGACTAAAGCTGTAACTTTGTTAGATCTCATTGCAGCTTCAGCATCACGTATAACACATGATACCAAGTCGACTGCTGAGCGTCCTAGTAGCGCGCCGAATAGATTTGGAGGTACTGCTTTGTTCTGTATTGCGAGCCAGGACATCTGCTTAGCAACTAGTCCTTCAAGCCCCTTACCTAAACAGGAAAGTAATGATATCGGTCGCAATCCCTTTGAGCTGGTAAGGTCACGGCCTGGCTTTGGAACTAGCACGACTTCAGCCACTTTAAAAGGCGTCGGAAAATAATCCAAATTCAAATAAGCCTGTAGGAGATCCCTGATAAAAGTTCCTATCGTCTTTCGGCAGGCCTTGAGAAGTCGGACTGTAATTTTGTCGAAACCTGGTGCGGTTTCTTTAATCCCAATAGTTGCTGCTGTGACATCTTCCAGTGAAACCTCTCCGGTCCATGGAATGCTTATCGACTTTAAACTTGTTCGTCGACTTTGTATATGTACGTCTGTTATCACAGACATTGGAAATAATTCATGAGATTGCTTAATGAGAGGCTAGGATTGATTCCGACATTTTTTTGTAGAAGAATTGCCCCAATAATCAGAGGGCTACAACGTCTTTACCTATAGACAGCTATGTTCCCCATATTCCACCCACGCTAGCCATACAGGACGTAGCATATAAGACATGATCTGTATCATTATTCTGGGTTTGAGGTTTATCGTGCTTATTGGTACTTGATCCACATGGCTGCTCACTACTCGAGACGCCTAGGTATCAGTCCAGTAACCCACATCAAACTGAAACTGCTCACAACCTTGAAATGGCCCCATATGTTTTGTTTTGTTCATTAACGTGCTAGGTTACATGACTACCGTTGCACTCCTACTGGAGCTTAAGCACGAGTGGCTTCTGGCCGGACCAGGTTAACTACCGTGAAGTACAGATAAACCTCGTCCCACTTTAATGACCGGACCACCTCAGACTTCACCTATGTGTTGAATTATACCAAGCCTAACCGTCCAGAAACCCGCTGTACACACGCCGTAGCGCAATTTCCTCTTCAGCCTCGGCCACCACGCGCCAGAGCCCTTGACATCCTCATTGACTCCGAAATATAAATGCCGTCCAAGATTTCATCCTTGCTCTAGCCTTGTACCTTCATATCGTGCCGTCGGGCTGTTGTCGTCATTGGGGATTTGTGTAATCCCCTCGGTGTATCTTCCCTCCTATTCCTCCTTTGCACACGTCCTTTTTCCATCATGACTTCCCTCATTAAAACGTGTGTAATTAGGTAACGTGACGAGTATAGAGGTGGGTCGCAGGTGTGAGATCGGCTGAGATATGGATCGTCGCAAATATATAAGGAGTTTGAGAGATGTCAGATGTTTGAATACAACTCTCAGATAGACCTAGGCCCATTCGTGAATCGTATGTTGGTGGTGATGAGTTTTTGTTCGATTTTGTTCTGGCTATGAAATCTTTGCCGACTGATTTTTCGACCAAAATATCGAGTGCAACTCCTTCAAGTCGACAGTCCATCAAATAAAATTCATCCCACCCTTTTTCGTGACTGATTCTCGGCTCTGGCAGAATATTTCACTCCCTGGTTCGTAGAGGGCACCACTGACAGGTGTTCAGCCTTCGCCCTCCGGCCCAATATGTTGTGATCTGATACTATTAAATCTGTGGACTTCGCGATCAGCTATTTGGTTACCAAGTGATGTAACACGGGAGTAAAGTATGGAGAGATCAACCAACCATCCTGAGCTAAGCCATTCGAGGCAACCATAGATACATTAGTATGTCAATATATAAAAGAATAAGACGCGTCTGTTATCCCTCGTGGCGCAATTGGCTAGCGCGTTCGACTGTTACGTG